GTTGGGGGAAGGGCTGGCCACAGGGAAGATGAAGTGGGAAGCTTGGGAAGTGGAACGGGTCTTGTGGGGGAGAGAATCTAGGGGAAGGGCAGTCTGGCTGGCAGTCAGATCACTCACCTGCTCCTCTGACTAATGTGGCCTGCACCCCAGCAGTGGAATTCTGCCAGAGTTAGGGGCCAAAATAATTTTTTAAATAAGGAACTATCATGAGAAGTATCACATTAAGACAGTCTATTTGCAGTTGTAAGAAAACGTCTGTATCAGAACCAACCATACTGGATAGCATGGTTTTAATCCTCTCATTCAGAGAAATGCAAGGCAATTAGGGGAATTAAAAGCAGCAGAAGCAATAGCTCTCTCAGGTCATCATAACCTCTACAGAAATGACTGCTTGTAACCAAGAAGTCCCCACGCAGCGGATTTATCATATCAAAGAAAGGAAATGAGTGGGAAATTCAAGAGTTTTGTTAATTATTAATATAATTCAAGAGGTAATTTGGAATAAATCATGTATTCTTTTGTGTGTTCATAATAGGGGTTCTCATATTAGTGAGATGGAAAGCCCCCATTCTACCATCGTCAGCGCCCAGTGCCTGCTTCTCGCTATGCCGCAGCTATAGGCCTATCTCCAAGTATTGCATTTCATTACAAGAGTAAATTAAATATTTCAAAACAAATTGCATGCTATTTTTCTCAGCTCTGTTTTCTGTTAGTCTACATTTACCTCGTCATAAAAGCTAAGGTTTTTATTTATCCTTCCAAATTCACTGGTCCCAGCCTCTGTCACATGTGGGTAGTGGGCTTATATAAAGAAGGAGTAAACAAGGGCTTCCTAGTTACCCACTGAAGAGGGGGTGGCGTCTCCTTGCAGGAGAAGCTCTCTCCAGACAGCAAGTCCTTTGGCGAGTACCTGAAGAGCCTCGGTCATTTCTCTTACCCGTCTCTAGCTGTGTCGAGTGCTTTTAGTCTCCTCTTTGTCTTCGCGTGTGACCCTTACTGGATAGATACATGGGGTGCACAGGCTACATTGCTGGGTCATTTCTGAAAGGAGGTGTATGGGGGGGGCGCTGCTGCCTTGGAAGGATCAGCACCTGCAAGAGCCTCTTGCGCATTGGTACATTTGACACAATAAAGACTCAAGACATAAGAGGGACAGGGCTGGACTTGATAAGATGTTCATAGAGGGCTCTTTAGTTTGCCGGGAGGTACTCAAGATGTGATATTCAAGGCGTGAAGTTTGAAGAACAAGAGCCCTCTTCACAGAAATAGAGGAAGATAGTGTGTGGTAGAAGGGATCACCAAGGCAGTCCCCGTCAAATGCACCCTTTCTGACTCGACTATTATGATCATCTATGGTTTGTCGCCAGAGCTGAGCCATAGGCTGCAGAACAAACATGGTCCTGCATGTTGTCTCAGTGGTCTGCACTCGGGACCATAGGGTTTCTCCAAAACCCAGGCCGAGACATAGGGCAATATGTGCACAGAGATTCATGCCCTCCTGGGGCTGTCAACGTTCACATGTTGAATCTGTAGCCTTTGGGGGAAGTGCACCCTGGAGACTGGTTGTGATGCACATTAGGAATGGGCTGTGTCCTGGAAATAGCGGGGAATAACTTATCTTCAGAGAAAGCCTGGATGAAAAGAGGAGAGCAGATTGCCACTGTGTGAGGGCAGACAAAGGGTTTCTCGGAATAGTGTCTTTCGGAGCAACACATTCATGTATACAATCTGATGTTCAAATACTTTGTCTAAAGGTCTTTCGAATTAAGGCCATTTCAAGCACTAGCACCAGGGATGTTCTCCCTCCTCTTTTTCCAAAGGCTGTCATGTAAGCCCGGGCCCCTCCCCTTCCTTCTGCCACTGTGGAGCGGGTGATGGTGTTTATCAAGGTAACCCACTTGAGCCAGGGTATTCTCATGTGTGTGCTGGGCAGGCAGAAGCGTCAGATTTTTGACCCCTCTTACACTCTGTGGCATCCAGTCTTTTGCTATCTCTTTGCTCTTTGTTTGCCAATATAGGCCCCTAGGGTGTTGCATCGTTCACACTGTTAGCTCAGACATTCACGCCGCTCACCTTCTGTTCTACTCAGTGTGAACTGACTTCTCGAAGCACCTCTGCAAGCGCTCTGCAGGCTCTCCTGGCAGAGGTAGCGGCATCGCCGGTTTCCCAGTGTAACATTGATGAGAGTGTGCCTCTTGCCTTCAGAAACGTTGCTTGCTATCATGCATAGGGAAAGCATGTGTAAGCCAAGGACAGTGACTCATTTCTGTAGCCCCAAAACTTAGAAAGCAGGCGGATAGTCAGTTTGAGCCTAACCTGGTCTATATAGCAAGACCCTATATCTTGTTAAACCAAATAATAAATAAATAAATAAGCTTTTGTATTTGAAATCTTTCACGATAGATTTTTGCAATCCTCCTAGGAGAGTTACCTTTTAAGTTGTGGCTCAGCTACAACCTGAGCGAGCACTGTGTTTGGAAATGACAGCCTCCCTACTCTGTAAACCAGATAACAAATTCCCCTGTGGTCCAGGACACAGGGTCTTGGAGGATACAGAAGCTGAAACAATTGAACAAGGCAGACCCTGGATGAAGCGTCTGGGAGAACTGACTGGAAAGCCCCTGAAAGTACAGGTGAACCCAGGCTGCTCCCTCAGGTGACGTTTCCCTTGGGCAGGACGACTTGGGCTGTGAGGACTGGGAGAGCTGGAGCTGGAAAAGCCTCCCGGTGCTGGGGGCTGCCCGCCAGGCCCTTACAGCTCTTGTCTGTGGAGACAGCTGTGCTGTCCTCAGCCAGTGCCAGGTGTGACTCTGGAAAGACTTGGAACCGAGCCTCAGTGCTAATTGAAGGAGCTGTGGGCTGGAGCCACCACCCCTGAGCAGAGGATCAAAGATAAAGTCCTGAAGGCAGAGGGGAATCACAGGACTGAAGTAAATGAAGATTTACCATCGTGTGTGTGTGTGTGTGTGTGTGTGTGTGTGTGTGTGTGTGTGTGTGAGAGAGAGAGAGAGAGAGAGAGAGAGAGAGAGAGAGAGAGGGAGAGAGAGAGAGAGAGAGAGAGAGAGAGAGAGAGAGAGAGCTGAAGGGGCCTTGAAACCCAGGAACAGGGTTTTGGATAAAGGCAGCAAAGGCAAGAGAATGGACTCCAAATAAAGCAGAAGCACTCCGCAGGCCAGAACCACTCTAACTCTATTCATAAATCTCCATTCACACATATTCAGAGACATCCAGGGTGTACCCGCTAGGGACTAGGCACAGCTGTTGGCCCTGGACCCGGGTTTGCTGACTCACATGCCTGTCTTCCACCCAGATCTCAGGCTGTGATCCTGTCTGGCGTCTGACTGAGGCTAGGCTGCACCCATAGATTCCTGAGATAAAACCCTAAGCTTCCTCTGAGATCTGAAAGAAGGCAAGTCACAGAAGAGTAGCCAAACTGGTTTCTGTGATTAAATCCCAGATACTAGCACCACTCAGCATGCGAAAAGTTTAGGACTCTGGCAATTTGTGTTGACCTTCAGCCAAGAGAGTTGCAAGGAATATAAACTATAAATAGTGGAAATGGTTTTCCTCCTGTATCTGCCGAATATATCAAGACAGGGAGAAGCTAGGGAGCGGTGGGACCCGGCCAAGGTAGGAAGGGCAGAAGTGTGGGTAGAGCAAGCCTTGATCAAAGACAGATGGAGTCAACAAGGAAAACGGCCAGATGCCAGCCCGTGGGCACACAGACGCTTAAACAGGGCTGAATGAGGCCTTTCATTCCACCTGATGGAAGGCTGTCCAGGACCCATTTGCACCAAATGAATTACGGTTTTGCCCAGACTGAGTCCCATTTCAGAAGGTTCTGCAGTTTCTGGGGAAGTTCAGCAAACTAAAGGATCCTCTTGACTTCAGCAGTCTGGGCTTGGGGATCCATACGTCTGATGATGGTGGAGGGGTTGGTGCTTATGCTGTCCCTTCCCCTTGCCAGCACTTACATAGTCACTTTGTATAAAGACTAATGAGGCTATTATTATTTCCTTTATGCTGATGAAGCAACCAAAGAATGAGCTTGTCCTGCTAACAAAGCTAGCGGCAATGCAGTCAGGCCTGGTGCATCGTTGCCTTCCAAAGGCAAGGTTGCTGGTCGTCTTTCACACCACGCAATGCTGCCCTTCCTCTGCTGGGAAGGAAGGTTTCAATCTGTCCGGGACAGCACATATCAACAACATGTTGCCTGATCCTGGGCTTGAAACAGATAAGAAGATGCTGGGAAGCCATATGCCACAGGGTCCCAGCTTTATGCACTAGGTTTATTTTAAGTGGCCCAGAAAGCATGGAGATGTCTTTGGGTTGTGTTTCTACTTAACTAATTCCAAATCGCATCACAAAGAGTGTGCATTAGTGATAACAATAGCAGTCTCAATATAGAAGAATTCAGAGAAATGGAAGAAATAAATTCATATTGCAAGTTCATTAGGGAGCAGGAGAGATAGCTCAGTGGTTAAGAACACAGATTGTTCTTGTGGAAGACCCATGTTTTGTTTTGTTTTGTTTTTTTCCAGCACGCACGTTGTGTGGCTCACAACTACCTGTATCTCCGCCTTCAGGATATCAGACACCCACTTCTGGCCTCTGTTAGCAGCTACACACACATATACACAGAATTAAAAATTTTAAAATTAAGTGCAGTGGAACTGGGAATGGAGGCATATGCCTATAATGTCAGTAATGCCAGCTGAGGTAGGAAGGTCATAAAGTCAAGGTCAACCTGGGCTGGACAACAAGACCCCGTCACAAAGCCAAACAACAAAGTTTGCTACGTGTTCTCTGTCCTTTGAACCTCAGTGGCGTCTACTCAGTTTGCCTCTTCTGTCCTTGCCTGGATGGGCCCGCCACCCACAGAGTTCCAGAACGTTCTGAGGGAGACAGCTCCAGTCGTGTGTTTTCCAGGGGATTCTGTCCTCCCGGGTAGTGTGGTAATGAGTGGCAACCCCTGACCGTCTGCTCTCTGTACCTTCCAGAGCTGCCAACTTCAGAAACTTCACCTTTATCCAGCTGAATGGAGAATTTTCCCGGGGGAAGGGACTGGATGTCGGAGCCCGCTTCTGGAAGGGAAGCAACGTCCTGCTGTTTTTCTGTGACGTGGACATCTACTTCACCTCTGAGTTCCTCAACACGTGCAGGCTGAACACACAGCCAGGTTGGCACTGTCTCCTTCTCTTTCGGGCACTCGGCTCTCTTTCCCGCAGGTGTTGCTGTCGGCTTGGGCCTCTCTGCCATCACGTTCCTTCAGTCACAAACACAAGGAAGGTGACCTTGTTCAGCTCACCCGCAGGCTTTGTGCAACAGGGCTGTCAGGCACACGAACTCTGGGACTGTGTCCTGTACCCCTGTGCATAACCCCTTTCTGTCTCCCACTGGGAGGCAAGGTGGGTGGGATATCCACTGGAGACAGTGAGTCAGAGGACACAGACCTGGAAAAGCCACTCAAATCCAAAGGGAAAAAAATAGCTATGGGCCCTTAACAAGCCCCATTTGGGGCTGAAAGAAGCCCCCAATACACAAATGATGTCTGTGGACTTAGGCACTGTTGAGAGAGAGCTAAGGGTCCTGGTATGGTCACTTGCTGGTAAAATATGGCAATTCTTCCATGCATAGCAGTAAGGGGCAGCTGCTCTGAGCCCTCTGCTGCCCACAGTCTTCCTGCCCTCCTCTGCCACTCTTTAAGGTTGTACTAGAAATCGCCGTTTAAAGGCTTCGGGCATGCAGGACAGGAACACCAGGACCCTCCTCCACACTCAACGCTTTGGGGAACGCAACCCCAGCCTCTGACCTGTCAGCAGCTTTCGTGTTGTTCTCATCCTGGGAGGACAGCAGGGTCGGAGAAGCAGACTGAGTGCTCGAGTTGGTGCACTCTTTCTAAGGTCTGGTTCAGAGCTGGGTGAAGCGAGAAAGAGTGGGTGGAGCGCCTGGGCTATTTCCGACGGCGAAACGCACGTGAGTAAGCCCAGCAGTGGACCGGGTTTCTCCTAAGCAGATGCTTGCTTTCTGATTTGCAGGGAAGAAGGTCTTTTATCCGGTTCTTTTCAGTCAGTATAACCCTGGCGTAATCTACGGCCATCATGATGCAGTCCCGCCCCTAGAGCAGCAGCTGGTGAGTAATGGCCCCGCAGATGCCCGTGTGCGGCTGTTTAATGTTGCTCATTACCGGGGCACCTGACCGTGAGGAGCGGTGAGCGGCATCCGCAGACCAATCCCCTTAGTGGTTTTTAAGTTGGGCAGATGTTCTGGCCTTTGCTCCAAGTGCCATGATGATTAAAAGTCTTTGCAATATTTAAAAGTGAAAAATAAATAGGAACCGTACCTTGTAAGAGGGTAATTTCACACCTCCATAGCTTTCGTCTATGGTTTTCAGAACTACTATTATTGGATTACGGCTAGAGCATGCTTTCTCTTTAGCATTATAAAATCCCATAGGAGAAGGGAGGGTGATGTTCCCGTTAGAAACAGGAATGCCTAAGATGGTGGAGAACAGGTGACAGAAGCGGACGGCCTACCCCGCGGTTACCATGAGTCGGTGAGGAACAAGAACCCAGGCCTGTCCCCTGGCCCTTCACCCATCCCAACCCATTCCGTCACCACTGCTACACATCCCTGTATTGGGGCAGATGTTGGCATCAATGGTGTCACCAGAAATGTCGCTTTCAAAGGAACAGAGGAAGGACTTCTCTGCCAAGATCTTGGCTGCACCGGTGATAGGCCATGGAACTGCCAAACCCCCAGGGCCTGCTCAGTCTCATGACATCACAGATAGATGAAGCAGAATGGACAGAGGAACTGGGACAAACCAGGAGAGCACCCCTGCCCCTCCAAGGCTGCTGTTATAGTCCGCCTTGCCCGTGTGGAGATGCTCCAAGACCCTCATTGGCTACATGGCATGATGAATCATCCCAAGCGCTGTACATAGTGTGGCTTCCTCTCTCCGTACACATGTGGTAACCTTAGGATTAGAAAGCAGCAGTGAGGCAGAACAACAGGGACTGATGATAATATAGAATGTAGCACACAATTTACTCATTTCTGGAATTATTCATTTCATATTCTCTGACCTCAGCTGATAGCAGTGACGGAAACCGTGGAGTATATGTGGGGGTGGGTACTGTACTGCTGGCTGCCTGGGCACAGGAGAGACCCTCCTCTCAGCCACTCGGGGTGATCCTTCCAGCAGGGAGATTATGTTGACACCTCTGCCTCGTGTTTGCAAGCCTGGAAATGCCATGCTTTTCGCACCGAGTATCCTATGGGCAGGAAGGAAATGGGACATGGACATGCAGATGCAGAAGGGAAGGGGATATGCGGTCTCCTCGTGCCCCATATCATGGCCAGGGGAGAACACTGTTCTGCAGCGTTCGTTTGGGTAGCCGACTCTGTGATAGACTTTCAGAAGTAAGAAAACCCATTCCCTCTAGGCCTGACCTGTGCCCCTGCCCTCTCCCAGGTAACTTCTGACAGCCAATGGGATTCTTCTCCAGAACACCGAAGCTTTCAGAAGGGAGGAGGTTCATGTTTCGTGCTCGTCCTTGTATGATTTTGGTGGACTCAAGCCAGAGAGTGCAGAGTCACTTTTGTGACTGTGGCTGTCAGATTTTAGCACTGCAGCTGTAGTGTGTGGCTGGGTATGTTCCACATCGCTGTGGGCTTCAGACAGTTTCACAACCAAAGAACCAGTTTTCTTCACGTGAGAGATAAGTCTCCTGTGAGGACCGGGGCTCTGGCTTCCCATCCCAGGAGCTGTAAGCCTTTCATGGGACGGTAAAGGAAAATGAGACACGGTGGGTTTTTTTCTTTCAACCAATGAGAATAAAAACTCCCTTGATTTTAAATAAAGCTCTGTTTTACATTTGACATTGGAAGTGATTAATGTTTCTAGTTCAAATTCATAAAGGCCCTATTTGCTTGCAAGGACTTCTTTTCATTTCATAATCTAAAGGTTTTGTCCTTTCCAGTTCCTCCTGAGAGCAGGCAGGATGGAGGCAGGCAGACAGTGTAGAAGCAGGTCTATCAGACTCAGAATAAGCAAGCAGTCCAGGTGGAAATAACTCAGAGCCTCGGATGCACATGGCCACAGTGAAAAGCCCCAAATCACCTTTGACATTTACTTCTTAGAGCGTCATTGACCTCTCCTCTGGTACATGGAGCTGCTGCTCAGAATTCAGTGTACAATTATTCAGCTCAGTGAAAGGCAGCAAGTTCAAGGCTTCCCAGACTCCAGGGAAATGCATGATTGTGTCCTTCATTAGACAAGTCATTTATTTTATTTTAGTTTTACTTTTGTGTGTAAGGTTCAGAGAGGGTATAAGATCTCTTGGCGCTGGAGTTACACCTGATGCAGGTGCCGGGAATCAAGTCCAGGTCCTCTGTAATGACAGCAAGACCTCTTAACCACAGAGCCATCTGTCCAATCCCAAGACAAACTATCTTGATCACTCACTCCCTGCAACGATCTGCTCCAGCTCCTGGTACTGGGGTCAGAAGAGCTGTGCTTGTTTCGTACACTCAGGCATGATTGATCTGCAGCCCCTCATCCACCCTTCACAGATGCTGAATGAATGGTCCAAGGCTGCAGAGTCAGGAGCTAGGGAGAGGGATCGCTGGATAACATTCTTGTGGGAAAGCGTGAGGACCCGAGTTCAAGTCTCCACCCCACTCACATGGGTGAAACCCCAGCACTGGGAGAATGATGGAGACAGGTAGATCCCACCCAACAGGAGAGGTGGGGCAATCTCTAGCCAGAAAGTCTAGCCAAACTCTCAGCTCCGGGTTCATTGGAGACCTTGTCTCAAATATAATGTGAAGACTGACAGAATACCCTCTGGCCTCTACACTGCACAGGTGAGCACCCACACACAAATGTGCAAGCATGGATGCACAACAGCACACGTGCACGCACACATGTACACACAGATATGCATGCATACACATACCCGTTGACCCCAACATTAAGATCGCAAAGTGCCTGAGTGACAGAACTTAGCCCATGCCAGGATGTCCCTCCTCTTGAGCAGTGGGACCAGAGCTGCCGGTTATCTCCAAGAGATCAGAGGCATAAAGACAATGGCCTGGCAAGAATGCCAGAGACAACCATCAAACTATAGAAATTAATACACTGTGGAGAGAGTAAGTAGGTGGCAAGACACTATAAACCAAAAAGTAATGGCTGGAGATGGGAAAATTAGAAGAGATTTCTTCTAGACCATGTGTGTATTAACACACCCTGCGTAGCCTTCCCTGGGACACAGCGGTACTTCAGTGAGGTGGGGAATGTGGGTTCCAAATGGGCTGTGGTAAAGGTCACCTGTGCAGCCCCGCAATTGCAGCCCCCTGCGCAGTGCGCCCAGGATGAGTTTTCATCGATATCAGTCCTGCCATTTCTGGCTTGCCTGCAGAGGAAAGCAAGGATCTCTGTGTATGTGCCGATGCCTTCTTATTTGTTTTAACTTCTGCACACAGATCATTAGCAATAAGCGACACTGGGGTTTCATGCTAATATTTAATTTTTGAGATTTAAGCCGTGAGCTGAGACTTGCCTTAATGCAGAAACAGCAAACCGAGAAGGGGATGACTGTAATTTAAATCAATGTTCTTCCCTTTAAACATTCCAGCTTGCTGCTCAGCCTGTCAGTTCCTGCTTAGATCCCTGCAGAAGCCTCCTACTTCCCTATCTTTAAATTCCGACCCTCCCCACACCCCGTCTTTCCTCACCCTCTGCCAGAGACTAGTTTTGAATAAACAAATTAATTCCACTTTTTTTATATAAAAAAAAATGTTTATGGCATAAAGCCAGTGGCAGGCTTGAAATTTATTAGCAACCCACTCTTGAGAAGAAGAAGAAAAAGCCCTGGTGATGGTGTTTGCCAATTTCCATGATGTAAACAATCCCACTGTGGCTGGTATTTAGCTCACCAGTGTGGTACCATAGGGAATGCTGGGAAGAGATGTGTGCATCTCTGGCAATCAGTATGGACTGTCTCGAGCACAGGGCCGTAGACTCTGTTTTTTTTGTTGCAACTGATTGTTCTCCATAAACCAACCTAACCTGACTGAAAGAGAATGCCAGCTAATCCCACCACCTGGCAGATGACACCATGTCTGAGGACACCAGCATCAGCCTGCCATCCACCCAGGCCACCACCTTGTGAATTTTAGTCTCTTGGTGTTTGATGCAGACTGTGATGTCTGCTGTACTTAACACCTGGTAATGTAGCCTGCTTACTTTGTGACATGGAGTGGTGTGCGTGGAGTGTGCTTCTCACTGTCTTCTCTTGATTACACCTGCTCTGCCTTGCCTGCCTCAAGTAGTCGGCATGAACCACGAGGCTGAAATCAAGTGTCTTCCTTAATCACTGCCTCCTTAATTTTTTTACAACTTCATACATGTATTGATATATTCAGTCCTGTTTTCCTTCCTTTTACCCTCTCTAATGTTACCCCTGTTCCCTATAGGTCCTTGCTTCTCCCATTCACCTTATTTTTTGAGACAGGGTCTGTCTCTCCCTCCCTCCCTCCTCCTTCTCTCCTTCTCCTTGTTTCTCTTCTTCACCTAGCCCCTGATATGTAGCTCATTGCCCTATCTATTCTGCCTGGACAAAGAACAGTAGGGTTAGGGACTCTCCACTGCTCCTCGTTTTTTATGTGAATTTTAGGACTTCAAACTCTGGACTTCCTACTCATGAAATAATCACTTTATCCAGAACCATTTCTTAGCTCCTCAGTTAACTAAACTTTTTTATTTAGGGGTTTGAATTACTGAGCATTTTAACCACTGGTCTGTGCTTCAGTCTTTAGTATTGTCTGCTGGGCATAGTACATGCAGTGTGCCCTTGCAGACTGGTTTTGTTTAATCGGAAAGCATGCACTTACTAAATAAGAAAAGTAATTTGAGAGTCCTTCAGTGAGACCATGTAATCTCCCATAATTCCCAACAAGGGTAAGTGGCATCTACATGTCAGTTCACACATGGAAGTCTGGTCTCAGCAGGCCTAAATCCACTAATTCAGATTCCTGCAGCTGCTGAGTGGGAGAGGGACAGATGTGAGGACCAAACTATGAGGCTAAGTTTGACCCAGGGTGCTGAGCTGAAGGAACCCATGCGCTGCCAGAGGACCAAGATTCTAGATGCCAGGAATGAGAGCGCTCGTGGGTCTGGTCCAGTCTTAACCCCTTAGAAGAGACTGTCATACTTTATTCTATACTTTATTCTCAAACCAATAAGACTTGTGTGAAAATGAGATGCTGCAGAGACCTGGGTAGAGATGAGATTTGAGTCTATTATTAAATAAATTCTGGGAGCCCTGTGCTCCAGAATACATTATTTCTTAGGAAATTAAACCAGGGTCTTCATGGGAATCCTAGCCTTGAGCTCTACTGCACAGGCTCAGTGAACTTGAGCAAAAAGAGGGCACATAGCCTTCGCCCCCAGAACCCTCTGCAGCGTGATCACTGACCCTTCAGGTCCCAGATAATAAAGAGTACACAATGCATAGTCAGATCCAGAAATTGCTGCAATTGAGGAAATCTGATATGCATGGGCAGGGCCTGCTTTATCAATAGACTATCTCAGAACAAAATCAGAATGCAGACCCTTGTGCGAAAAGAGTTCAGAATGTAAAGACAACTGCAAAAGGCATGGAACCCTGTGTGTGTTCGTGGCCACATTCCTGTAACCATGTACAGCTCCTGGTTACTCCTAGGACATAGAAGGCTGAGCAGATCTAGCTTCAGTTCTGGAGCGATACTCTTTGATTTAGAGACTATTCTCTTCCCGAAGTCTTGGTCACCTACTTAATTTTAAGATTCAGATTGCTTCATAGGCAGCTGCCCAACTCAACACTGTTAAATCAGACAGGCAACTGCCTATACTCTGGCTGCCTGTGCAGCCGTGGGGCGGCTGTGTTCCCCTCAGCCCTAGAGGGAGTTGCTGATCTCTGTCTCATGTTTTGATCCTAATAAAAAATAATTGCCCCATGTCATACGACTTACCCACAAAGCTGTGACTCTAGAAACGTCCAGTGGGACACCCATCCTGAAATCCATGCCTTTGTGGCATGCTTGGTCCCACAGTCTTTGGCCAACGTCTGTGGACTACAAAGGTGCTCTGGAAAGTGTGAGCGTGAGGCTGGCCCAAAGGACACCATCAGAGTGACAGCGGCATTGGAGACAGAACGCTGAAATTTAGAACAAAAGAAAGAAATGAGCAACTTTTCAGGTTTAGTCTTTGCCCCGTGTTAGAGCCATGGGAGTACATACTTTAACACTTGGGCATGGTGGGACTCCTGTGCCTGACTCAATGTGTATAAATCAAACTTGGTGCCTTCAGGCTCAAGACCATGAGGACATTTTTGCCTCTTGGTCCTGATCCATGCAATCCTGAGAGTTGTTACTACCAGACCACCTATGCTTTTGCTGAGGCTCTTGCTGACAAGTGCGTTGGTTTCCACAGGCTAGGAGTCGGGGTTACCTTACACTGCTCCTCCTCCACCCACTAAAGAGTATCTATTAACTGTACAACTGGGTGGCAAGTGACGTTCTGGGTGCCACTGACACAGGGGACTAAGACTCTGGCTGATGTTGCCCAAGGGTGGTAGATGAAGACAGCAAACTAAGAAACAAATGCACCCATGAGGTCATTTCCCATGGGGACTGGCAGCTGTATGGCACTGACCAGGAGGCTCAGGGTGATCATCTTGAGCAATGACGAGTAGGGGAACATGGCCAAGCAGAGACTGAGGGAACATCTTAGCTGCCTGTGAGTCTGGTGGTTAGGAAACAGGCCTGTGGAGAGCACCAACTCTCAACCTGTGGCTCATGACCCCTGTGGGGGTCAAATGAACCTTTCATGAGCATCACTGAAGAACATCAGAAAATACAGGTGTTTACATTATGATTCATAAATGCAGTAAAATTACAGTAGTTATGAAAATCATTTTATAGTTGGGGATCGCCACAACAGGAGGGACAGTGTTGAAGGGTCACAACTTTAGGAAGGTAGAGACACTGATGTAGAGGGTCAAAGGGGATGAGAGGAGAGGATGAGGAGCAGGCAGGCCTGGGTGGAGGACTGGAAACCTCTGTGGGTCTTGTAGGGTCTTCAGCAGTAACCTGGTGCCATCCCATCAGGAGAGAACTCAAGAGCACTCATTTCTGCCAGGCTTTCCTCCAAAGGAGAGCAGCAGTTGACTGCTTGGTCCAGCCATGGTGGTAGAATCTCGCAGAAGTGAAGTCCGCCTTGCCCTGAAATGACATGCTGTGATACACCCACGTCAGCTTCCACAGAAGACTGTCCTTCAGTGGCCCTTTCCCACATGCTGTGACACACCCACGTCAGCTTCCACAGAAGACTGTCCTTCAGTGGCCCTTTCCCAGAGTGGCTTTCTGTGGCTTAGCAGCTTTAAAATCAATGCAGTGACTGTGTCTAACCTCAGCCCCTGCCCACGAATCAGTGTGTCACCTGTCTTCAGTGAGGACCAGCCTTGCTTTGTGTCCTTCAGCACAACTGTGATCCAGCCCAGACTCTTGGGACAGTGACTTCCTGGGAGCACACTCTTGCTTCCTCCTCAGGTCTTCTGATTGTTCTTCCAATAGGGAGCTGTGTCTTTTAAAACCCTATGGAGAGTACAACCCAAATATTTGAAGTTTGGATATTGGCACTTCTTTTCTACTCCATGTCTGTGGGGTATCTAGAACCCTGGACGGTAGAAGGGATATTAGGTCTTTGACTACACAGAAAAGTTTACCCGATTGACAAAGAAGGAAAAAAGTCCATTGAAAATGTATTTAGTGGAGGTTGCTCCAGACACTCCCGTCTCACACCATCCTTTCCAACTTCTCTGCTTTCACATCTGTCGTTGGGTTTGGTGACCTGGGTTTCACCAGGGTTGCTTGCAGGGGGACGGGTGGGTATTATTCACAGGAGTGAGGGCACCTCACTGATTAAGTGGCTCCATCACTGGTAAAGTTCCCCATTCTTCATCTCCCCTAGTATTGTAAACTGCATATAAATCCTTGGAGAAGGGTGGGCCGGGCTTCCTGGGTAGTTAAGGAGCCTCATTGTGAGCAAGGTCTTGTGCGTATAGCATGGGATAGCCTCTGCCCTATTGAATTCTGGGATAAAAGAATGTTTTAAGATTCATTAACTGTTTGCAAGACATTTATAAAATATAATTTTGATGGTGGGAAGGTTTCAGAACATGGAGTAACAGTGATGCAATAAATGAGCTGTATGATTCTTTAGTTGTGATTTAGCTCAACTCTTCATCATATGTGAAGGAAAACGGGCTTGAAATTGAGAGACCTGCCTGAGGTGAAAAGAGTGGCCAGCAGTGGAGATGGGACAGGCCTGCCCTTCCTTTCTCGTGAGGTGTTACAGACGATCAGCAAACAGATCCGAGCTTTAGCGACAGGGACCCTGCTAGGCACGTTGCTTCCCTCTCCCAAGGAAGGGGACGTCCTGTCTTCTAAGCACCTACAGGAACTACAAAGACGGGAAAAAAATAGATTTCAAACCCCTTTCCCGAATTACTTCTGACAAGTGTGTGCGTTGGTGCATGTGTCTGTGTGTGCCTATGTGTATGTGTGTAAGTGACTACATGTATATACGTGTGTGTGCATGTGTGCACATTGCCAATTTCTATTACTTTGTAAGTTTTGTTGCCTCAGAAAATTTGCTGGGAATTTTCCCCAAAGGAAGAAACGAAGCAGTACTGTGTTGCTCTGGTTTTTTGTTTTTGTTTTTGTTTTTGTTTTTGTTTTTTTGTCACTGTTTGGATGGCCTCTCGGTCACCCTGCAGGCTGGCACTTCCAGCAGGAGCTTTCTGGAGCAGCTTCATCCTTTAGAAGCATCCTCTCCTCCGGCAGCCAGAGGTGTAGAGCCAGTGACCCAGGAACAGCAGGGATCTCTTGGACGTTTCTTCTCTTTCCCTGTTGTTGAGTTCTGAATTCCAAGCTGTTCCCGAGGCCTTTTTCAACGTCCTGAGCCCTTTGCGGGCTCTGTGCTCAGGCCTGTGTCAGGGGCCCGGCCTCACTTTTCCTTAGCACTGGGACCAGGCGCTTTTCCATGGCACCGCTAAGAAACCTGCTCTCTGAGATTGTTTTTGGTTGTGTGTGAGAGAGTGTGTGCGTGCTTTGACTCCTACACCCTAGGAACATCCTGGCCAGAGGTGCCAAAAATCACAAGGCCGCAGTTTGGACTTGGTGTATTGTAATTCTTTTGGTAAACACACACACACACACATACACACACACACACACACACACACATACACACACACATACACACACACACACACACACACACACCCATCTGGCCTATTTGTTGGCAGTGGGGTGGCTCTGTGAGTACTGCTCACCACGTGTGTGAAGATCGGTTTTCCGCATTATCTCTGACAGTCTTTTTTTTCTTGCAGGTCATCAAGAAGGAAACGGGGTTTTGGAGGGACTTCGGGTTTGGGATGACTTGTCAGTACCGCTCAGACTTCATCAACATAGGTGAGATAAAACTTCGAGTCTACCGCCACCTGCAGGCCACTGTCCTGCAGGCCGTGAGCAAATTCTGCAGGTTTTCCTGGGTAAAGATGCTGCCATTTTCCCAAACAGTGCTGCTCCAGAGGTCACAGGTGGCAGTGCTTGGTATGCTGTCGGACACATCAGCCCCTCTCAGATTTACCCAGTACCATTCAGGGATTTACACACAGGATGTAAGCAAGTTCTGGGGTGCCTCCTCCTCTGAGGACCCTGGCTGTGGAGTCCGCGAAGAGGAACACTGTGAGCCTCCAGGAATGCGGAAGAAGACAGGAGTCTGGGAAAAGCACATGCAAAGACCCATGTTTCACTCCCGTGATCCTTACTTAAAGTCCCATATGTCCCTTTAAGCTCTGAGTATGCAGTTGCTGTCAACATGAACACACATGTGTGAACATCTCTACACATCGTATAGACACACAGATAAGCTTGGACACAGAGATGCATACGTGTTTATACACATGCACTCAATGGCACATATTTGAACACAAACACACATGTACACACAGAGACATGCATGCACACATATCCACATAGGTACAGAATGACACATGTGTGAACACAGACTCACATGCACACATATCCACACAGAGACATACACACTCATTTATATAGAGAGACATGCATATATTTGCATATACATCTACAGAGGCATACATGGAGATGTACACAGGCACACATACATGTGAATACACATAGAAGGCTAAAAGGATGTATTTACAGACACATGAACTGCAGAGTTCTAGGACTCAGAAAGGTAAGGCCAATGGGTTTCAGCAGAACAGACCAAAGTGCGCAGAGACAAAAGGGCCTCCTGAGGCCTCACAGGAAGTGGAGGATGAGGAACAGGCTGGATTATACATAGCTAGGTCAAGAAAGAACAGGTCCAAGACCTTAATTTGGGCTCTGGGGAAGCCCTTCTCTCTGGGAAGCGATGGGGAGACTCCTCCCAGACCGCACAGGCACCTCCTCTGCCATACCCTCCCCCAGACCTGAGCCTGAAGCTCTCCACTTTGAAAGAAGGCTGCAGGAGCAGGTCCAGGTATGCTTCCTTCCCTAGAAATCACCAGATGAAAATGAAAATAGTGTCAAGCAACTTGGATTCGTGTCCCCGAGGAGGCAGCGGTACACCAGGGTACTAGGTCTTGAGTGACAGCCACGGTGAAGAGCTGGCAGGAGTTCTTTTATATCTCTAGGGAAATATTTCTAGGAGACTGTATGCTTATCAGATTCCCAAAAATAATATTCAATTTTTTAAAATAATTTCCATTTCCAGAAACTGTTGTTTCCTTTGCTTTGTGTGCAGAGAAGATGATATTGCAATGTGAAGACTCATGCTTATCACATTGGGATTCATATTGCATTGGCTTGTCTGAAGATGCATGTCACTATATTTTCGAGAGGTGTAGTGAGGGGCTGCGGGCAGGCCAGCTTTTCATCCTGCCCAGCTCCCGCACGGCTAGCTTAGTCCCAGAAATAACAACACACAAATTGTATTCATTTAAGCACTGCCTGGCCCATTACCTCTAGAGAGTTAGTTACTGACTAACTCTCATATCTTGATATTAACCCATTTCTAATAATCTCGTGGTAGCACCACGAGGTAGTGGCTTACCGGAAAAGATTCAGCATGTCTGACCTGGTGGATGGCTCCATGGCGTCTGCCTCATAGACCTCTTCCCAGCATTCTGTTCTGTTTACTCCGCCTACCTAATTTTCTGTCCTATCAAGGGGCCAAGGCAGTCTCTTTATTGACCAATGAAAATAACACAATAGACAGATAACCCTCCTCCATCAGAGAGGTGGGGCCACAGTGAGCTGGGGAGGGTGTTCTTCCTCGGGGAGCCACCACTGTGACCTCAGAGCTTCTCAGTCCCCTTGTTTGTCATTCTTTGCAATCATGTCCTCGTTTGCAGTTTTCTTTCTTGTGACCCTGGTATTTAATAAGAGATGCTGAGGGCAATAAAAAAATTTTAGTCGACCAAGCCAAACACTTATTAAATTTTATCTTGTTTGGTTATAACATCTACTTTATTGGAAGATTAAAAAACCCCAAACTTCATGCAGGCATCATTATCTAGGCTCATTCTTGGGGGCCCTGTATTCAAAAGGCAAAGGCAGGAGAAATGAAAATTCAAGGCCTGGACTATACAGAACAATGAAACAACTTGACAAGTTCAGTAGCAACTTTGCTAGGAAAAAAACGGATCTGAATTCTGACTGTCCATCTCGTGATCTCTCCCTGTTGCTGTCCCCTGCTGCAGGGCCATGGTCACTCATAGATTAACACCACTCGGGATTGCTTAGCTCGGTTTTCGGGTCCTGGGTTTTTCTGGTTTGAACTGGCCCTGATGAGAGCAGTGTAGCTGGGGCACAGGGGCAGAGATAAAGCGGCCACATGAGAGTGTTTGGGGCAGGGTGCAGTGACAGAAGGATGCCACATGCAGACAGAAGATACAGGGTTTGCCTTGTAAGATGTCAGGTTCTAAAGCAAGGATGCACTTGAAGCTCTTAATCCTGGACCAGAGCTACTCATTAGTACCGCTGATGGCTCTTTCAAGCATCCCAGTTCTTAGAATCCTGCCCAATATCTAGTTACATGAGGAAGTTTGCATGGTCAGGCATGAAGATCATACCTGTTGGCCCCACCCGTCCAAAGTCTTACCCAGATGGACGCCGGGAACTTGGATAGATGGTGCTTCCAATGGCGCCTCCCCTGAATGCTTCCTTATTGTATGTATGGGGGCATGGAGGCCAGGGGACAACCTCAAATATCATCTTTAATTTGGGGACAGAGTCTTCCATTGGCCTGGAACTTGGCAAGCAGGCTAGGCTGACTGACCAGCAAGTCCCAGTCATCTACCTGTCTCTGTCTCCCTGGTGTTGAAATTGCAAGTGTGTGCCACCATGCCAAGTGCCCACTCTTGGGATTTAAAATGTTTTAAAGTGTATTTTGAAGGATCGAACTCAGTTCCTCGTGCTTACAAAGCCAGTACTCCACCAATCAAGCTGTCTCCTTGTCCACCCCTGTCATGCTTCTTGAGGAAAAGTTCATGGGGGCTGAGTGGGTGGAGCACAATTCAACGGCATGTTCTGTTCCCACAGGTGGGTTTGACCTGGACATCAAAGGCTGGGGTGGTGAAGATGTACACCTGTACCGGAAGTATCTCCACAGCAACCTCATCGTGATACGGACACCTGTACGGGGACTGTTCCACCTTTGGCATGAAAAGCGCTGTATGGATGAACTGACCCCCGAGCAGTACAAGATGTGCATGCAGTCCAAGGCCATGAATGAGGCATCCCACGGACAGCTGGGGATGCTCGTCTTCCGGCATGAAATAGAGGCTCACCTTCGCAAACAGAAGCAGAAAGCGGGCAGCAAAAAGACATGATCTCCCAGGCACAGATCAGTGGAGACATTTAAGTTGTTTGCCTTTGGCGGTTGCTAAAAAACTGGATGCAAAAAGATACAGACTTCCACACAGGGCGACAAAGAATCTGACTGACAACTTAGAGAGGAAAGGAGTGAGTCTCTGGTTTCTGTGGGCTCTGAGTATGGCGACAGTGACTGTGTTCACAGCAGAATGATCTCTCTGTCCCTGCTCACTAAAATATTCACAACCTCAGACAAGGTTTGAAAAAGTTCACTAGAAGAGATGCAAGCAGACTTGCTTCTCTTCTTAGGAATGGTTAATTCAGAGGGCTTTGGTGTCCAGGACTAACAACATCTCAGAAGGAGCAGAGGACCCACAAGGCGTGGAGATCAAGCATGAGCACCCTCCAGGAACCTGGAAACAAATTGTCAATACTGTCATCCCCCCAATATTAGCCAAAAAAACCCCTCTCTCTTCAGTTATCATTTAGTTATCGTTCTAAAAATGCACTTTTCCTTGTATTAGTCTTATTTAATTACCTATTTGTAAGACTTAGTAGGAGCACATTGTAGTATGTACACTTTTATGATTTTTAAGATTTATTTTTTATTTTTTGTTGTTATTCTTGGTTTGTTTATTGGAGAGAGTCTTGACACAGACCCTGAGCTAACTTTGAAATAATGATCCTCCTGCCTTAGCAGCCCGAGTGCTGAAATTACGGTTATGCACCAGCACAATTGGCAAGAAGGTTCCTATAGGGGTGTGTGACGAGAGGCACCTATAGGGGTATGTGACAAGAGGTACCTATAGGGGTGTGTGACGAGAGGTACCTATAGGGGTGTGTGACGAGAGGTACCTATAGAGGTGTGTGATGAGAGGTACCTATCAGGGTGTGTGACGAGAGGTACCTATAGAGGTATGTGACGAGAGGTACCTATAGGGGGTGTGTGATGAGAGGTACCTATAGGGGTGTGTGACGAGAGGTACCTATAGAGTTGTGTGATCAGAGGTACCTATCAGGGTGTGTGACGAGAGGTACCTATAGAGGTGTGTGACGAGAGACACCTGTAGGGGTGTGTGAAGAGAGGCACCTCTAGGGGTGTGTGATGAGAGATACCTATAGCAGTGCGTGATGAGAGGTACCTATAGAGGTGTGTAACGAGAGGCACCTATGGAGCTGTGTGACGAGAGGCACCTATGGAGGTGTGTGACAAGAGGTACCTATGGAGGTGTGTGACGAGAGACACCTATGGAGGTATGTGACGAGAGGCACCTATGGAGGTATGTGACGAGAGGCACCTATGGAGGTGTGTGACGAGAGGCACCTATGGAGGTGTGTATTGAGAGGCACCTATGGAGGTATGTGACGAGAACCTCCAGTAGCAGACGTCTGAGAGCAAATCCGAGACTTGCCAAACTCGAAGCTAAGGCTGCGAGTGGGCTGCAGAGAGAAATGTAGAAGCTGTCCGAAGAGGAGCAAACACTGGAGAAAGGAAGACGCTTTCATCTTCACAGAGAAGGGACACTACGGCCTTGGTCTCTGCTGGAGAACATACTTTCTCCTCTGGAGAAAAGGGGACCACTTCCTTACCTGTTTGAATAAACCAAAGTTATGAACCAAACTATCACTTTTCAAAGCAGGGTGCTCTTCCTGGTCTCTGGCTTCCAGAAGAAGACATGCAGGAAAAATAGACATATATTTTGTGAAAGACCAGTCCATCATTCCAGCGAATTGGAGGACTTTGCTACATTTTCAATCCTTCCTGACTATGTGGAAGCAACTTATTTTTAAAATAAGCAATGGTACTTGGTTACCAAGATGCTTCTGAAGCTTGCATTTTCTTACATCTTCAAAATCTTTTTAAAAAAATAAATATGGTTAACATTGAGTGGTTTCTACATCCATGTGCAAATTATTTATTTATTAGCCAGCACCAGATGCATGAGCTAATTACCTCCTCTGTCTCCATGCCTTCTGTTTGCTCACAGTGAATTCATTGTTTAAACGCTTCAAGAACACTCAAGCTGTGTGCTTAAAAAAAAGAAAAAACATTGAAAGCATTGTATTGATTTGTACTGGTGGTTTATAAAATTTAATTAAAACATGAGACATGAATGAAAGGTGGTATTACACAGCTAATAAAATTTGTGGATTTGATTTCTTCCTGGAATAAGAAAGAAGTGTTTTGAGTTTGGGGAAATTCTTTTGTGCATAGACCAGGAGTTCCCAGTGTTAGCACTGTGACATTTCTTGATCTCTTAGTGGGGAAGGGAACGGTCCTGTGCAACTTCCCTACAGTCCCACTGCACACTAAATGCCAGGGGCATCTGCCACTCAGTTTTTGACAACCAGCCTGTCTCCAATCATTGTCAAATACTCAGAGAATGGGAGCATGGCCCCTGGCTGGGAACCACTAGCGTAGAAGGAAAATTTTGACATTTCATATACGCTAATTTTTAGTTGGATGGAGTTGACAATGGTTTCTGAAACCACTTTCCGAGCTGTTTTACAATTTTCACATACTCTTGTAACTTTAGAGCCTTCAGGACATGTGGCTACTGGTTCCCTATAGTGGTCCTTATAGATGGGTGGCTACTGGTTCCCTATAGTGGTCCTTATAGATGGGTGACAACTCTTGCTGCTCTTCCCTGAGAGGCGGGGGATTGATATCCCACAAGGCTGAGGCAGGGGCAGCCTTCAAATGCGCAGCTGTCTCCTGGTGTCCCTGAATGGTAACCAGTATTTGAACTTGTTCACACTGTCGACCTGACAGACGGCCATGACACCGACTAAGATTTTGCTTCTTGAGACAGTTTCTCATTTTGTAGCCCATTTCCCTCCTGCCTCAGACTCTCAAGTGCCTGGCTCACAGCTGTGTACAAACACATAAGAATGGATTTTAATAATTAGTAGGCGTACGAGGAAAAAGTCTCAGGGGGTCAAGTGAGCTGAGATTCCCTCTCGCCCCAACACTAGGCAGGTGGAAAGCAAGGCTGGGAGTATCCTGGGGGCCTGTGTCTAGCCAGTCTGGCTGAGACAGCGCGCGCCAGGCTCAGTGAGAGACCTTCTCTCGAAAAAAATGAAGGGCAACTGAAAACAATGGGAGGAAGATGCCCACGGTGCACACATATTGAGGACCCATAATGAAAGGCGTCTAATGAAAGATGTCACTGGGGGTAACTGAAGGGGACAGGAAAGGATTTTCTCCCTTCTAAAGCTTAGCTGCAGTTTCAGGTAGAAATGTCTCCAGAAGGTCATCTCTTACAGATGTGGCCGCCAGTGGATGGGATCTTGGGCACGATTGGATCCTGGGGTCCCGACTTTGTTAGTGGATCTGTCCCCCCAGGTAGTCATACTTTCATGACACTCATAATGTGATGGTGGCAGAAAGCCGGGAGGTGGGGACTTGGGAGGAAGATATAGTCTTGGTCCTCTGGAATCTTCCTAACTCTCTTTGCTTCCTGTCCACCTGCAAGTTTTTGGAAATGAGGGTTGGGGAGGCCCCACTAAACCTAAACAGGGGCTGAAATTTAAACTTAGGCAGCAAAGGAAAACAGAAATGGAAGTGGATGGAGAGCTCAGTCACATGATTTCTGCAAAGAAAAGCCACTGCCAGATGCCCGGCTGGTGAAAGGCCTCTTCTAACTTCACGAATACTTACTCGATTCCATGTACCTGTACGTTGCCTAGTAACCAGTCCGGTTACCTTCTGATATACCTGGGACCCCAGCCAAGTGCTGCCACTGATGCTGCTGTGTGAGAGCTGTCAGCAGCTCTGCTCCACTTTCTTTGGTGGTGGCCGATTGAATCTTCAATAGGAATTGGCAGTTAAAGCTACAGATCAGCCCCCTTCCGAACTCTAGCCAACACACCAATGTGGCCTTCTGCTAAATATTTGTCAACAAGTAATGATTCCAAGTGACATACCTCATGTCCTTGTGCTGGATCTCTCCAATCTTGGGCTGCCCGGTGTGTGTGTGTGTGTGTGTGTGTGTGTGTGTGTGAGAGAGAGAGAGAGAGAGAGAGAGAGAGAGAGAGAGAGAGAGAGAGTCCGTGGTGTATAAAGGCCCAAGGGAAAGAAGTTTGTCAGGCGAGTCCAGACCTCAGTCCTCTTGTGTTTTGTGCTGGGGAGGGAAGCCTCAGCACCAGGCTCTTATGCAGGATCCCAAAAGGTGAGGTTTAAAGTAGAAGGTCAGATGGGGAGCTGCTTGTGTTTAAAGAGAGACTGTTCCTGGAGATGCAATGAGATAATGACCTTGGGCAGTTTCTTAGGAGGGGGTGGATGCTTTGCTCCTGTGCCCATGGATGCTTGAGCTCCCTGTGATTACATTCTGACTAGCTATGTATTATCATTCAAAGCCGTTTCTCCTGGCAAGACTCAGGCTTTGTTGTTGCTGCCAAAAAGTGGTGGGGTCTGTGCCAGTTTGTTTGGGGGATTTGGGTTTTTTCCCCAACACACAGAATATGTTATTTCCTGGCCACAGGGATACCATTTAAAATGACTCTACTCAGACTTTGAAGGTGCCCTCTGCAAAAGTCAATCCCAGCATCCCCTAGGGTTTGACTGTTGGCAGTTCTAGTAGGAAAGAGGACAGAGTCCATAGGGCAGGCAATAGGGAGACCATAGTAAACGTCACAGCCTAGGAGGGTAGAACACCACTGGAGAGCGAAGCCAGCCATCCTCCTGCCTCCAGATTCCTCCGCTTTCATCAAGGGCCAGAATGGGGCAGGGCCTGCTCTGCTAGAAATAACCAAATGCCCATGGATCTGGTGTAGGTGGTTAGGAGGGCTGAATTTATTCCTTACTCTGCAGCCACACTTTAGGCGGAAATGAGACGTGCGCACGCAGTGCTCCTAGTAGCTCCCTCCACCTCAGATCTCAGCCCTTGCAACTTAGATCTACCACCAATCTGAGCCATCAACCCATGCTGAAAACCTACAATAAGCATCCTTGTCTACGGAGGTCTTAAAGCCATTTTAAATGCATTGAAATATTTGAAATAAAGAAAAAACAAAAAAATAGAATTATCACCCAAATTAAATTTAAACCAAACAAAGAATTTTTTTTTTAATTTCTCTTTTTTATCCCCACTACTACTGTCATAAAGTTGGGTCATATAAAGATGACATCTCAGTTTGGGGGCAGCCGGGGCTAGCCAGCGTGGTCTGGGTGAGAGGTGAGAAAGCCACCCCATGGAGAAGTCACTGCCACTTTGGTTGTCATGATTCAGGACTGGGTGGGGATGTTACTAGGATTTTGACTTGCTGGGAAGTCTTTAAACTGGAGCAACTTTTCACTTGAGGAAAACGCACGACTGACGTGGCTGGACATGCACAACGGTCTTACTCTGTGCCACCAGCATAAGGTCCGGTCTTGGCATCACCTGACTCACCTGGAGACAGGCAGGGTATGCTCCAGCTTCACATCTCCTCAAAACGGAGGTGCTAACTTGGAAGCTGTGGTTAGGAAAGTCTAGGCCATGGACTCCATTCAACAACCGCCACTTTGGGGACCAAAGATGGCGACTGCGAACCTTGGGGTTGTTCAAAATCCCTGGAAAATATCCCTCCCCTCCCTTGCCACCTCAGATCCCAAGCTAACGGATCCATTTTGCTTTAGATCATCTAGCTAGGATTCTGTATAGATGGTTATATCTTCAATATTTCAAGTCTCTCTGGTCCCCTTAAAATAGTTCCCCAGTTCCAGGAAAGTGGCCATTAGCATGCATGGCCCATTGGCTATGTAAGCTGGGTTAAAAAAAGGAACGGTTACAGGCAGAGCTTTTGCTACACTGGGCACTTAACACAACTCTTTTCTAGTCTTTGGGACCCAGGTGACTTCAGGAACTCATTTTAAAAGTTGAAGCTCATGCAGGTTAAGCAGTTCTTTCATTCCACATGGCTAATTGATGATATAGGCAGGACACAAACCCAAACCTGCTGGGCTTGCTTTCTGCTATGTCTAACTACTTTATTGTCTAATAATATATTTTTGTCATACAACAAAGAGGTAAAATTTTCATCACTTAAGCCCCTTGATAGTTTTCAATCTGGAGCAACATAGGTAAACTTGTGCACAGAGAGACACGTTACTCACACCCTACAGATAAACCTGAAGTTTACCTGTGGTGCCGACTACAGCAGACACAGAATTAACATGGCAGAGTTACTGTAGAGTACACACAGTAGAACATAGAATTATCATGGCAGAGTTACTGTAGAGTACACACAGTAGAACATAGAATTATCATGGCAGAGTTACTGTAGAGTACACACAGTAGAACATAAAATTATCATGGCAGAATTACTGTAGAGTACACACAGTAGAACATAGAATTATCATGGCAGAGTTACTGTAGAGTACACACAGTAGAACATAGAATTATCATGGCAGAGTTACTGTGGAGTACATACAGTAGAACATAGAATTATCATGGCAGAGTTACAGTGGGGTGGACACAGAATTATCATGGCAGAGTTACTGTGGAGTGGACACAGAATTAACATGGCAGAGTTACTGTGGAGTGGACACAGAATTAACATCGCAGAGTTACAGTGGGGTGGGCACAGAATTATCATGGCAGAGTTACTGTGGAGTGGACACAGAATTATCATGGCAGAGTTACTGTGCAGTAGACACAGCAGACACAGAATTAATGTGGCAGGAAATCCAGTGTCTTCTTCTGCAGGGTCCGAGAGTAGCTCTCTTCATTAACAGTACAAAGGAGGGATAAACACAATAAGAAGATTGTAAAAAATAAAAAGCAAGGAAAAGATAACTAAGTAAGGCTTATCTATATTCCTGAAGACAGGAAAGCACAATTTAAGAAAACTGTTAAAGATATAATTGCGGGAAAGCTATAATCAGAAGAAAGAAGCTGCATTCTAAGAAAAACAAATGCCATGCGCCCTGAAAAATGCAATGTCTGTCTTGAGTCCCACTTCATCCTGGTATGGTCGGGCTATTGTGCACTAAGCCACCCTGGGGTTGGGAGGGAGGGGAACAGGGCTAATAGAGCTGGAGCTGAAGGAAGATTCTGAGCATCTGTGAGTGTGATGGGAAAGAAAACACCCGGGAGACTGTAGTGAAGACAGCTTGTTTATTAGGTAGGGACGGGATAGTTATACTCCAGGAAAACTGACTGGTTGGATCCATGTGGTGGTATGTTATTGGTTGAGGCAAGAACTTGAGGATGCTTCATTTGCATGCTTGGGAGTAGCAGGGAAGGAACATCATCAGGTCACATCGAAAAGAAAGAAAGTCCAGCCCAAGATGTTTCAGTGGTCAGATAAACAGCAGACAATCCTCCGAGTCTTGGAGATGCATGAGCTTTTATCAGTTGCTACATGGACCGTGGCATCGTCCTCGCCTGGGAAAGCTATCTGCTGGGGTCTGTGGGTGCCCAGGCAAAGCACAGGAGCAGCCAACCTCTTTCTACTCTCAGGAGGAGAAAATCCAGGGTTTCAGGCATGCTTTGAGCCCTTCTTAGCTTCAGGCCAGCCCCACAGTCATTCGCAATGTTCTCAACAGCTAAGTGTATGGGGTATTTTCTTGAATAGTGATTGATGTGGAGGGCCCAACTCACCATGGTTCACGCCAGGTCTGGAAGGGTGATCCTGGGAGGTAGCCTAATGCAAGCCTGAGAACAAGCCATTAGGCAACATTGCTCAGCTCCCTCTGCTGCAGTTCCTGCCTTGACTGCCTTCTACGACTGGGATGACTGGGCACCACCATTCATCTCGCTGTAAGCCAAGGACAACCTTCTTCCCCCGCAGGCTGCTTCCTGTCATGGCGCTCACCACAGCAGTAGAGAGGAGACTAAGACAATGCCAGTCCACCAAAGAATGACTAATGACAAAATATTGGCTCGAATAGGCAATTCTGGCTATAGATGCCTTGCGATATTTCCGAGAACATGTTTGTAGTCTGCCTCTTTGGTTCCTTTTGGTCTTAAGTGTTCCTGTGTTCTTCCTCAGCATAGGTAATGTTTGAGTTGACATGTCTTGACCTGGCTTGCCATGACGATCTAAAGACCAGAAGATTTGATATGACTACAGTAGGGAGCTTCTAGAATCATACTATTGGAAAGGAGAGTCAACACGGGCAAGGGCTGACACTTGGCTCTACCCCAAGATACAAGTGCCCATGGGCCTGAGCTCCTGGGATTGGAACCTTGTACAACAGTCTAAAGGTCACACCCCAGACCAAGAAACCTTAAGCAGAAAGGGTAGGAATCTAGGCATCAGAGAAAGAGGAGACAAGAGCCAGGGCTGGATTCTACCTCAGACCATACCTATTCATGCTTCCTCAGCCCACTTAGCTGACATATCCGATTGTGTGAACCATTTTTCTGCCCTCGGAATTTCAGTATTCTTCCTGGCCATTTTCTCACCAGACACTAGACAGTTTACCCCCTCTGTGTCAATAACCAATAAAATAAAACAGTATAGAACTCAGGCCTACTCCTCCTGCTATTACATTAGCTTAAGTGGGTTGGGTTCTTTCTTAATCTTCTTTAGGTCACTTAACACAGACATATTTGGACACAGCCAGGCTTTTTGCCTATAGAAGTATTTCAGCACCATCCCACCGGTGGGGATCCCAGACTGACTAGAAAGCAAATAGCTATCTGGGCACCATCACATCTCGCTCTATTTTCTAGGTCCTATGTGAGCAGCTGTGGCAGGCTCCTGCCACCATGGGTTCCCCGTCATGATGGACTGCACCCTCCCACTGGGAGTCAAAATCAACCCTTCCTTCCTGAAGTTGCTTTTGTTGGGTATTTTTGTCACTGCAACGAGAAAAGCGACTAATACAGATAGGTAAAGGGTCCATTCAAGATAACCAGGAAAACAGTGGGGAGAAATGAGAGCAGAACAAAGATTTTTAGTAATGCCATGACTGTTGAGTCATGGAAACAAAGTTAAAAGGCAGATCTTACAAAAATTTAATAATATACACCACGTGAACTATTTCAAGAAACAGTTGACAATGATCCGAATTTCAGTTTCCTCGCTGGTGCACGCCAGCCTCGATGTTGGTACATTGTTCATCTGAATGGTGCACACAAGGGACACCTGCAGCGCCCTTCTACTTCGGGTAAGAGGCCAGTGAGAGAAAGCCAGCACAGATGGGCTTAGCAAAGTTCCTTCCTCTGGGAAAAGTGGCACTGAATGCCTCGCAGCCTCCTTGTCGCCATCTCATGGATCTGAGCTGAGAATGACTGCGGATTTGATTTCAGGATGATGCAGGGCAGGAGATTTCTGGTTGAATAAATCTGTGTCCCAGGGCTGGACAGCATTGCTTGGAACGTTCCTCCCATACCCAGGTTTCATTTCACAGTGACGGTGCAGGCTGTGACAAGGAGCAAGGCCAGGGAATGCGTGTAGGGCCTGGGCTACATAAGCTCTTGCACGAGGTTTCGGAGAGCGCTGTAAAGCCACCAGCTCTGCAGTGACTTTGACGGTTATTACCTCACAGTTCTAAAGCCCAGAAGGCTCAGACGGTGGTGCAGACAAGTTGGAACAAGGCTGTGTTTCTTCTAGAGCTTCAGGGAGAAGCGAGCCCTGGGTCCTGTCGTCTTCCACAATTACTGGCCTTCCCTGATCACAGTCGCGTTACTCACTCTCTGTGTCTGTGGTCCCTTAGCCTTCATCTTTCCGTGTGTCATTTTCTAAAGCTCTCTTCCTTGTGCAGACGTCAGTCATGAGGGTCAGGGCCTACCCTACTTATCTAGTCTGCAGAGACCCTGTTTCCACATCAGCTCACACCTGTGGACAGGGAGGTCAGGACTCACATACTTTTGGTGTCGCTCACAATTCAGCTCTCAGTAGGTGGCATTCAAACCACTCACTGTGTTCTCTTTGTACCATGAACACAGGAGTCCTAACATGGCCATGCACATCACCTTTAGTATCTGCTCACAGATAGAGGTGAGGGAGGCAGAGCAAAAGGACGAACAAGCTATAAGATGCCCCGTTTCCCTACTATTACTGTGTGTGTATGTGTGTGTGTGTGTGTGTGTGTGTGTGTGTGTGTGTGTGTGTGTGTTCATTTGTTTGGTTGATTGGTTGGTTTTTGTTTGTTTGTAGTACATGGTAAGTCTCTTGTCCATCCCAGTTCACATCAATTCACAGTTGGGACTTGCTTTTCTGTCTGCTAAATCCTGGTTCCAGCAACACACAGAAAAGGTTGTCTTTTGAGGAGAATCTCAGTCCTGAGTGAGAACATTTTCACCTGGCATTTTAAAGCCAAGCTATAAGCAGGAGACTGAGACCTTTGACTAAATACCAAAAGGATGCCTGTAGTTCACAAAATAGCTTACTCATTTTCTGTGGTTGCTATTGTTTTGATTTTTTTTAGAGTAACACCTTAATTGCTAAAGAGATTTCAATTTACCCTGTTATTTATCTTTTATACATTATTGCAGCCCTGTCCTTCAAGGTCCCATCCTTCATATTAGGATGTTGTTGAAATGGGTCCACTTCTCCCTTTTCCCTCCAGAATGAGGGTGAGGGAGAGGTCATGGCCCCTTGAACTGATATCCAGTGTTTATGCAGAACAGAGGCTTCAGTTAAGACCTCACGGACATCGCTCACTGTTGGCTCTGTCACATAATGGCTTTGGCATCACATGCGAAGTCCACCTCGGAGGTTTCTGTCCAGAGGACAAACCGGCTGGAGGTTGATCCAGATGAGAGCTGTCACTCAAAGAGCTCCAGGTAGTCGGGTAGCTTGTCTTGTTGACCACAGGGGTACATCAGGAGTTCCTTCCCCAGAGAGGTTATGGGCTCTTCCTGTCAATCAAAGTACAGGGTCATGTGGCAGCTGTGTGATAGATGCCCTTGTTACCTCCTAAGGAAATGTCACTCCTCTACTCTAGGTTCATGCAAACCTAGATTGGCTTATGACAATCTTAAAGGCGAGTTTTCTCTGCCAGCTTCCCTTTCCTTCTAGAGCCCAAGTTCTAGTGTAGGACCATCCAGAGAAGTGATCAGTACAGGCATCTCCAGTATCCTCAGCTCCAGTGGGCTAGCTCTGAGTATGGCAGGAGGACATGATAAAGGACACAGAATTAAGATTCCTCATTATCAGGGGGAATTATGTGCTCCTCTCCCCCATTGCTTGTTCTTGAGCTGTATCCCTAGCCATGCCTTTCTTTATTTTATAGATAAGTACATAAGTGGCTTCACCTTGTGATATTCCACCAAATCTGCCAGGGTGCCGTGCTGCAGCTGGTCCACACCCAGGAAGCTGTAAGAGTCAGCGGAGGCATCTATGAGGAAGTGTTTGCAGCCCTCCTCCTCCGACAGATAGGACAGGGCGTAGCCCTTGATCTTTTCACTGACTCGGATCAGAAAACTGCCCGGTTTGCCTGTGCTGCTCAGGAGCTCGCTGGCTTTCTTCAGCGTGAGAATCCCTGTGGGAAGGGAAAAAGTCATTTCAGCCAAGTCCCTATAATCCACTCCTCTGTTGCCCCTCACCGTAAGAGGAGAGTCTGGGGAAAGGCAGAGCCATTCCGCCTGTACTTTGAGGTCCTTGGGAATCAGTAAAACAAACATACAGACAAAAACCTTGGTATTTGGTAACTGGAGAAACACAAAACACATAGTTTGTCAACTTGACACAAGCTAGGGTCACACTGGAAGAATCCCTCAATTGAAGAATTTCCTCCATCACATGGGTCTGTGAGTCATTTTCTTGAGTAATGATTGATATGGGAGAGGCTTGAGTAATTGCTATGGGAGGGGCCTGGTAATGACCGATATGGGAGGGTCCAGCCCTCCTTGGGTGGTACTACCCTGGCAAGTAGTCCTGAGTTCTAACAAGAAACCAAACTGAGCCAGCCAATAAGCAGCCTTCCTCCTTGGTTTCTGCCTCTAGATTTCTGCTGTAAGTTCCTTCCCTCAATGATGTCTTGTGATTTGGGAGTTACAAGATGGAATAGACCCTTTCTTCCCCAAGTTGCTTTGGGTCAGTGTTTTAATTATAGCAACAGAGAAGTGAACTGGGACAGCTCGTAAGAGAACAGCTTCACCTAGAGACGCATTTGATTAACACAAGGTGTCTGCCACTTATGAAGGGATGGAACATTATCTTGAGGGTGGTGCTGGGATCTTTCAGATCCGAAGTGAACTTCGGATGCCCTTGAAGGGCCACCACTGTCTGCTTATCAGTGAGAACTCTGGTCTGGGAAGTGAGCTGCCTTGGTCTGAAACAGTAATTCTCAAACAGAATCACACGGGAGAGTAAAGCATACCTGTTGGGACATTAAGGTGGCTTGCATGGAGGAAGGACTGGAGGGGAAAGACCCACCCTGAATGTGGGTAACACTATCCCATTGGCCAGGAGGTGAGATGGAAAGAAGGAGAAAAGAAAGCTAGCTGGGGGTCAGAAATCTCTTTTCTGCACTTCCTGATCCAATATGCTGTGACTAGTGTACCCCCCCCATATTCCCTATGCCCGTGTTTCCTGGTGCACTGTGATGTGAGGAGTCTTCCTTTCATTCCACTGCCAGAGTTGCTCTGCCATGGAACCAAAGAAATCTCCTTTCTCTTACATATTCCTGTCAGGTGTTGTGTTCGCAGTGATGTAAGAAGTAACGAATACAGTTGTCATGGGTGTGGGTGATACTTCTATTCACAGGGTGCAGGCCAGCAATGCTACTGAACATTCACACAACAGTCTGACCCTGTAAAAACAAAAAATATCCAGCACAAAGCATCAATGGTGCTAGAGTTGAAGCAGCCTGGTCTAGGAGGCCCTGCAAGTTAGTCACAGAATCAGAAGAAACTCCGGGTCTACTGAGTGTCTGATACCAGTAACAGGTTTTTTGAATTCCACCAAAACTAATCTTCAATGCATCCATTGGGTTTTGAAAGGCTAGAGTGTAATTTACTTATATCTCCATACATATATGAAGAAATTTGAATATATATATTATATATACATATATAATACATATTCAAAGGAATAGGCTCCACATGCACACATAAATGGGGCTTTCTGTAGAGGTGTAATTAAGATGTCTCCTGAGCTCCCACTCTCATTTCCCAGTTCATGGGGTTTGACTCATGCTCCAAAGTTCCCTTCTTATTTCTCTGGTAATCCTTGGAATGAACAGACAGCATTGTAAACATACCGAGAATAGCCAACCGCACAGCTGGCTGAATTACCCTGCGGGCTCTGATTAGGGAAGGAGGAACAACGTTCTTCTCGTGGTAGACAGACGCTCCTGGCTTCCCTTGTTCCACCCTTACCTTGCTGCTGATGCTCAAGTTCCAATAGCTAGGGAAACACGCAGCAGCCTGCCTCGTGAAAAGGAAATGGGTTTTCACAGTCCTTCTACTTGCTAGTGAATTTTTAGTTCATTAAGTAAGCTCCAGTCATCCGGAGCGCAATGCTAAAGAAGATTCTGTAAATGGATCTTTCATAAGAGGAGGAATTTGAAAAGCCCCACTCCCCACAAGCCAAGTTCAACCCCCCAACACTTCACCTACCTCCTCTTTGCCCATCACTGTTCAGAAAGATGAACAGGGGTCCTGTTCCATAAAGGCCAGCATGAGAGCTTGTATGAAGTACCGAGGGTGGGAAGGTACTGATAGAGATGGCATCCAAAAGGAAAGAAACCCAGAGCATCTCTCCCAGAGATTGCAGCTATATTGCTGTGCCTCTCAGAAAGGTTGCTGGTTCATGTCTACCACAAACATCCACCATAGTTGAACTATGAAATATTCTCTCCCCACACACACCCCAGTTCGTGTCTCAAAGGCTTGGTTCCTGGATGCTGGTACCATTTTGGGAGACTGTAAAACTTTTGGAGACAGAGCCTAGCTGGAAGAAGTAACTGGAGGGATGTCCCTGGGGGCTATGTCTCATACTATACTGCCCGTTTGCTTACTATCTTCCTCTCTTTCCTATTTACCATGAGATTAGATCTTCTGCCACACGCTCCTTTTATCAGGATTTTCTGCCCATGTGCACGGAGCCCACAACAACAGACTAGAACCCTCTAAGATGAGGAATAAATATTGCCTCGTTTTGGTTGCTTTTTGGGGTATTTTGTGGTCGCAGCAACACAAAGTGTGAACATCCAATCTGTCGGTTATTGTTCTGTGTTATTGTTCTTGTGGCACACAGGCAACAGTTGCCCCACAGTTATCGAGTGAGATTCTCAGTTCAGAAGTTCAGTTCAGACATAGGCTGCTTGCTTTCACTGTCTCTTTTGCATTCCTATACATCTCTGGTTCCATGAATAAATTGTCTAAAAGAGCTGTAGGCTCTAAGAAGGCGACAGACAAATACCCTCTGCCAGGACGACCCTCCAACAGAAGTTTGAAGACACCATGTTAGATTGTCTAAGAAAGCAGAGGTGTTTTTCATTGTCACTGCAAATCGCCCGCCAGAAACAAGGACTTGCTAAACTCCTGTCAGAAGAAAGAACAGCGTTGTGGAAAACAATTTCTTATTTCACCCAAACTTAGGGATAGAGTAAGAATTTAGTTCTAAGTTCCTTTAAAGGACTGGGAAGATGTGTATAGCCAATGACTGTAAAAGAAAGAAAGTTCTTCTGGAAAATTATAAGGAAACATGGACTATTTTTCTTTCTAAAATAGGGTTGTTTAGGAAGCGCAAATCAAAGCATCTACCATGTTCCTGACCTCTGTAATCATCACCCATTACACACTCTCTTAGCACTATCTAATTAGCTAAAACACCGGAACACAATAAAACGATTTTGCAGTAAATCCCAGGTCATAATGCAATCCCCTTGCATATCACAGGAGTGAGGCCAGGATCCAAGGTGAGGGCCATGCACACAAGAGTAGTTTCTTCCTACATGTTTAGACACATCATTCACTTTCCTGAGCACAAGTAGCCATTTCCTTACAGACTCCAGCAGGGGTCAAGGGCAGTGGATACCTTTGAGGAGTCTTGGCCACTGCCAGCCTCATACGAGCCAAGTCTATGGAAGATAGGAGTTCTTGAGTACAAAGTCAGGTATACTGATGAGCGTCATGTGAGCAATGTCCTCACAGGCTTTGGCTTGCCCTCTGTATGTCTCTAGGAGTTCTGAAAGCAATGAACTTCACCCCACCTCTCAATTCATGACACTTCAAGGCTGCCTCTGGGAATCAGCAATCTTCACACATTGTAAACGAACCAAAGCAACCTGAGGTCCAATGGCAGAAGAAGAGAATGGTATATTGCTTTTATTTATTTTATTTGTTGGTTTGTTTATTGTGACAGCATCTCTCTACATAACCCAGGCTGGCCTGGAATTCAGAGAGGTCTGTCTGCCTTTGCAGGTCTTACAGGCATATACTACCAAGCCTGGCTAGATTTCTTTTATTCAAGTTTATTCCTACGTTTAATGGGATAAATTTCTACCAGGAAAATAGCCTGCACACATTAAGAGTAGAAGCCCTGGTCGCTTCTCACTTCTCCACCACTTCTCTGATTGTTCAGGTTCTTACCCAATATCTGACTTCTGAGTTTTTATTAATAAAAAATAACTAGAAAAATGCTACATTTGATGCTCTAACACATGGCACAACCACACCAACAGAGAAGTCACAGCAGTCAGCACTGCCACAATTGTGGCAAGGACCCACCTGTGAGCCCTCACAACAGTCGCCTACCATCTGCAGGGACTCGGGCAAATGGGCTCAGTGGCTTCCCAGAGCTGGGACTGTAATCACAGTGCAGCTCCCACCCATGCCATAGCATGAAGCTAGGCTCTCAGGAAACCGAAGAGGGCAAAGCCAGCTGCCAGAGTGAACGGACATAGGCACTAGCTACTGCCTAGCAGTTAAAGCCTTGGCTCCATGTGGTCAGAGGATGCTGCCAGTGCTTAGTAAGCCTAGGTTCAGCCCCTCCCACAAGAGCTTTTAAATAGGTACAGAATGCTTTAAAATACACTTAAATGCTAAAGAAAAAAAAAGAAAGAATATGGGTATAGATCATCATAGAAAGAGTTTAAAAATTATGAAATGAAGTCTTTAAAGAAAAAGTAAGTAATAAAATATGAAAAAATAAGCCATATAGGGATGAGGAATACACAGGGTGTCTGGATCCTGTATGGTGTCTCGCTGACTTTGAAGTTTTTGAATGCTAATGAGCAAATGACAACTGCTGAGAGATGTTGAGTTATGGAAGGAACTGTTGAATTAAACTCACATATACGTTAGAGATCTCTTGATTTCATAATGGAAGTCAAGAAATATGTTGCTTTGGGGGAAAGGTTATGACTTTGTTTCCACAGAAAACAAAAAGCTACGGATTCCTTCAAATTTAGTGGAGATCAGATTTGACCAGGGGAGACTTCCTGAAGATCTTGGCTGCAGACATGAGGGATGAAGCCAGGAAAGACTGCAGGACAGGCGATGTATATGCTGATCGACACAGGAACAGTTGGAA